AAATTATTCATGGTTAATTAGAATCCAGGATTGAGATAATCACATTACTTACATGTGGAGTAGATGTCTATTTACATGTTTAAAATCTGCCTACAGATGTTTTTGTTTTGAGAAACCGATTTCTGTTGATAAACCACCAATTTGGCATAAACTCCAAGTTCGCTTTAGGGTCAAAAAGACCAAAAAAAAAATCCACGGTTTATAGTTCAGAGCCAATTTGGACTAAACTAAACAAAATGACCCGACATAAGCTCAGCTCAGCAACAATAACAGTTAATGTAACCTCAGTACCTACAAGAAATTAAAACAGTAATGCTTATTATAGTTTGCATATTGGCACTTGAAAGGAAAAAATTTATCCCATCGTAAAAAATATGTGCTAGACAGAGTTTAGAAGAGAAGTAATTATGTTTATTTCTATTGTACCTCAGAGATGATTTTAACTAGTTTATCTTTGAGTGTGACTGTTTATATAGATAATATGTGCATTATATATTTAGAATATGTACATATATATAAGTATGCATACATCTAATAAGGTATATAACTCAGTTTGTTGTTTTATAGGGGTATATTTGGTATTCAGAGTTTAATTGTCTCAAGTAGCTCTTCGACCTTGATTTTTCCGTATCATAAAGTGGGCTACAGGACTTTTTAACTGAGCAATGATGACAGTAGCCAGTTTTATATTCATAGCATTTATGGTTTTATTTAATTTGTTATGTGTAGTTTGTTTTCCCCTCTAGAGTAGTGGTATGAGGGGACCTTATCTGTCTTGCACAACGTTGTATTCCACAGGAGCCTCCGGTACTTTCCGGCTCAGTGAATGAGTGGAGATAATGCAACTATCCCAGCAAGTAAGCTCTTAGGATTGTATGTTTGAATCCCATTTTAGTAGATACCTGCTATCACTTTTCTGTTTTGCATGTTGTGCTTTCTTTAAGATCACATAACCATAGATTTTAGTGACTTTGGAAAAAAAGAAAGAAAGAAAAACACTGGAAGGACAGAGGAAGCAAACGCCTGACTTGGAATCCCAGTCCTTCCGTGTGTTAGCTGTGTGGTCCTCAGTTTCCTCCTTTATAAAACACAGACAATGACATAAGATGGAAAGTATCTAAAACCTAAAGGTTAGGCGACTCCAACTCTTGACAAGGATGCGGCAGTACTGTTTATTAGTATCTGAGATTATAAATTATATTGTGATGTCCATAGGTTATACAGGAAATACATCATTTTACCAAAATAAAATTTTATTATGAATAATACAATAATTGTAAAAGTTATGTAAGAAGAAAAAGCCATAAATACATTTACACACCATAGTGTTATTTTTTAAGATAAGCTTTATTCAATTTACTAAGAATACATTCCCTAGATTTTTGGACAAGAATATCTCATTCTAGTATTTGCCTAATTTTCCTAAAAAGCTAAAGCAAATCTTGCCTGTATCTAGCTGGAGTGTAAAACTGGGAAAGCCGTAGCTGGTCTGCAGAGGCTTAGCCTGGGCTCCAGTAGCCCTGGCGTGAAGATTTGTTACGTTGGAATAATTTTGTAGATCACGGAGAATTACGTCTGAGTTTTTAAATATATTGTTTAGTGTGTATATGGGGAGGGAAGTAACTGGAAAAAAGTTAGACTTCTTAAAATAGTAATGTTCTCTAAATAGTGAGTGTAAAGTCCAGTGTCCTTCCAGTCAATAAAGCTTATTACTTCCTCATCAACTGTAATTTAAATTTATATTTCTAATTTAGCTTGAATTTTGTGAGGTCCAGGTGTGTTCAGTGTTGAGCAGTACATTGAGTACCTTAAGAAGCCATGGTTATAACAAACAGGATTTAAATAAGGTAGTTTTCTTGTCACAGAATATAAAATAAAGATTTCTGCCTTTTATGTGGCTTTGAGAGGTCTTTATAATGGACAAAAATCCAAGAAACTAATGGGAAAACTGAAGAGTTTTTAATTCTGTGTTTCAGGAGTGAAAACAGTAATTTTTGTAAATCACCTGAACTGCATTCATTAGAAATGGTACCACGCACTTAATAGCCATTCGTAAAAGTGCAAATTATGTTTTAGACAAAATATGGAATATTCCAGCACTTAAAGTATATCAAAAAATGCTTCATTGCTATGATTGAGGATGTATATTATGTCTCTTTTGCAGAACTCAACCTTCATAGAATTGTTTTGTCCTAAGGAATACTAAAGATATTTTTCAGAAATATAAGGAATGCTCAAATAGTGGCTTTGTGACTTTTCCATATGACTTAAGCACCCATGGTAATTTTGTATTACTGGATTAATTTTTTTACATCTCTAAACTGTATTATATATAATGATTAGTTTAGAGCATCTGTATTTAAAAATAAATGCTAAATAAAATATACTTATTTATTTAAAAAGAAAAATAGCTACAAAAATTTCCCTTCATTCTTTGTAAGAATACCTACTTCAGAGGGTCCTATAATGTACAATAATATTTAATTTAAAAAATCATCAAGAAATAATTACATTACCATACCTAGCCTTAATTATACTGATGTCACCAGCAGTTTTATCTTTTAAACTTCTTTAAGATTTATACATCTTAGAACTACCTTGGGAATTTATTTCCCTTAGGCCCAATAAAATAATATCTGACCTCAAAATTACAATTTACTTGATTTTAAACAAAATACATAAAAAATGAGGCTATTGTATAATTAAAAAAAACACACAAATGTCTAAACGGCAAAATGTAGATTGTCTTTTTAAAATAGAAACAACATAGTTTTACTGTAAATATGTTCACCACAGTAGTGCGGAACTGCAGTAGGTGGCTTCATTACAACTCCTGCTCAGCAGCTAACTGCAGCTATTATTTTGGTGTTGTGATTTCTTCAATCCTGGAAGCATCAGTCCTAGGACTACACAAGTAGATAAAGATTCCCACGTACATCTGGTGATTTACATCAGCCAGAAAAGCAGATATGTGCTACTTTTATAATTCTTCATTTTTGTGGGGAGTATTAAGGTCACAGTTGATTTAAATATATACATATATAAATTCCCCACTATGTTGGTCTTTGGATGTATTCATAGTTTCCACAAGTAGCAAGTTTGGATTTCTTTTTGCTTTACCCTAGGCAAACTGTAATTTACTTATGTTTTAAAATTGGGTACAAAGGATGATTGAAAGACCTAAGTATTTGTATATTTAAAAAAGAGAGTCTTCTTTTAGTACCCAATTCAAAACAATATTGTATGCAAAATAACGTATTAGTAGAACCTTATAAAATCATCTTTAGATTAATGATTTTAGGAACAATATCATAAAATGCAAACGTTTCTGTCATGTAAATGTCTTAAAAATTTCTGTGGTTGTGTCATTCTTTGTGTGTGTGTGTGTGTGTGTGTGTGTGTGTGTGTGTGCGTGTGTTTTAAAGTCAGCTCTCTGAAAAGTAGCACTCTTCATTTTGTTATTTATATTCCTCAGTAATATGTAACATACTATACATTATAAGGATCAAATAAATCTTACAAAGTTACAATCAATCTTAAAATTAATGTCATATTAGCACATTTTATATGGACAATTAAAAATCACTTTAATTTGATTTTTAAAGGAAACCACTAAAGTCAAATTTAATTTAATCTTTTTGTTGTTGTTGTTCCAAAGAAGCATCTTTAGTTAATAAAAGGTCTTGACAAAATATGTCTGAAATCCTAAAGGACAGTTCCCTGAACAATACCCAAATTAAAGTTCAGTGTCCCAGGACGTCGTGTTGTAGAAATGTAATCCTCAGTGCCTGTCTTGTCTAAGTACAAACTGGCATCTAAAAATATTTACATCTTGGCTCAGAACTGGGAACACACATTCCCCATTTATCATCCAAGTGATTGAGCGATCCAAAAATATTTCCTCATTAAAGTATCATTAGCAATCATGTGGGATGATTTTTAAACAATTATACTTTCAAAAATGGTTAAACAAAACAAAAATAATGAACCTAGATACTTCATTTTCTCTAGGCTAATATCATGGAGGTCCTTGTAATCCTTAATTTTGAAGAGTTTCTAAATACTTGAACCATAAGCCTGAGAGAAAAGTGGTCCTTCTCGATGATCATTATCTGCATCACTAAGGGCCTTGCAGATAACAAATGAATACACTTCCTGGGGGAGTGCAGTGCAGTGGTTAGGAGCATGGATCCTGGAGCCAGACCACCTACGTCTGAGTCCCAGCCTCTGAGTCCCACGCTGCTTGCTAGCAGCGTGACTCACCCTAAACTACTCCACCTCTTTGGGCCACAGTTTTCTTATAATGTTTTGAGTATTAAATAAGTTACTACATAGAAAGAAAGCACTTAGAACAATGTCTGGCGCGTAGTTTGGATTCAGTAAATGTTAGATATTATTAATGTCAAGTTAGTCAGTTTTTTCCATTGGTTCAAAACTTAAAAGGAAGTTTCTACATTAAAGACTACTAGTTGGCTGTTAATTAATTCCTATTCTTACGTGTATTTAGTATGCTATCTGGCTTATACATATATGTGTATGATCCATATTACACACATATATATAGTGCATTATATGGATTTATATGTGTATGTATATAAACATACATGCATTTGCAAGAGAAATATGACAAAAACATAGTTAAGAAAACATACAATTAAAAAAATTACAATAAATTGAAAAACCTGTCCTTAGGTCCAACCTTTCATGATGATAAAAGAACATATTTATCCTTTCAAAAGATCTCCACTTTTATGTAGTTGATAGTTGGGGCTTGGGCTGTTTGCTATTTCTGTTGGATTAATATTTCCTTCAACATGTATTGTTTATAATACATTCATGAAATAATCTTGTTAGGAAATGCAGTCTTCCTTAAAACCTGTTACAGTATCAGTTCATACAGTTCAGAGGTTTCTTGCTTTCAGGTCCAAAGCTTTGTAATATCAGTTTTATGAGATAGTCAGTCAACAGCTTGCCAGAAAATAAGTCAAAGGCTTATCTTCTTAAGCATAAGTCATCTTCCCAAGGTAGTTAGCTGGCACGTATCCTTTCTGCCCTTGAGCTTCAGCTAACCACCATTCTTTATTGCCGCTTAAGTCACAAAACCTAAGTATATGGACTCTCTGGTACTCTTGAAGGCTGAGTTCATGGTCACTCCGTGCTTGAAAAGCGTGAACTGCATAGAAAATCTAGATAAAGAAGAAAATGGCATTAATGGAACTGGAACCTAAACACTCAGAGAAACATAATAGTTTACAAGCTCTCAGGAGCAATGCTAAAGTTTTCTTATTTTTTCAAAGTCATATTGTCCAACGTGTTCTACTGGATTTATTTCTCTAAAATATGACCCAATTGAGAATGGAATGAAACAGGCATTTTTTTTATTCTGTTGGGAGGAGTCTAAACTGTCCACGCTTGAAGGCAATTTGACAGTTTCTAATAAAATATTTTTAAAATGTTAATTTCTTTCGAGTCAATAATAGCTCTAAGAATTTCTTCTACAGAAATAGAAACATTGGAAGAGATTTTTGCACAATATTACTGCGATACCCAAATGAAATGTGACGTGGGAAGGGAGTGGGAATGATACTGAAAGTTCCGCAAGACAAGAATAGTTAAATTCTGGACCCTTTTACTAAGAAAATTTGTAGTCATTAAAAAGGTAGTCATTAAAAATGAGACTGATAACACAAGAAATGCTTATGATGAAATAGCCAAAAAAAAGGATATATTAGATGTACAAATCTAATATTGTTAGGTAGTTTCTTTGAATCATAGGATTATAGGTGATTTTCATTTTTACTTCTTTATTTTCTAATCCTTTATAATGATAGTATAATACATTTATAATTTTAAAAATTAAGTGACCTAGAAGAAACTAATAAAACAGTTCAGTCAAGAGAATTTTTCTCTGACATCAGAACACTTTGTAATTATTAGATGCATAAGAAGTCCCCAAACAAGGGTTTAATCCTCCTTCCTTCATAAAATACTAAGACTGAAAATAAAAATATTTAGTTATGTTATAAAATTAAGCAGTTATCTAACTATTTATTCATTCAGTTATTTTATGAAATACCTACTAAGTGCCAGATATTATTTAATCGAGGACCTTACAACTCAGCTAGGAAGACAAAAAATGTCAAAAAACAAACAAAACAATAAAAACTACACAGACACACAAATACCCACAAAATTCGACACATAGATGATACATCGGCTAATGGAAAGCTGGATTTTGAAATAAGTAACCTTTCATAAATGACAAAGTTGACAAGGGACAAATATGTCATATTCAAACGTACAGAGATGAATACTTGAAAATAATAATACATAGGAAAAGGCAAGCAGATTAGCTCAAAATTGAGGGTCAGCGGACAAGGAAACAGAAATGAGGCGACTTCACTGAGCAGGAAAAGAGACTGTACGGTGAAGGGAGGGAACAATAGTTGTAGCTTAAGTTGTTATTTAAATCTTCAACTGTTACTTAACTTTTGATGAAATTCTGGTTCCATTGATTGGCATATCGACCTAATTAGGATGAGCTGCACCTCAAGGAAAGGAACCACAGTACTGTGATTGGAGTATTTGTGTCCCCCCCAAAATTCATGTGTTGAAATCCTAACCCTCTGGCCGGGCGTGGTTGGTGCGTGCGTGTAGTCCCAGCAACTCAGGAGGCAGAGGCAGGAGAATCACTTAAGCCCAGGAGTTCGAGGCTGCAGTGAGCTGTGACTGCACCACTGTACTCTAGCCTTGGTGACAGAGTGAGACCCTGTCTCTAAAAAAAAGAAAAAAGTAAAACAGTGGGAATGCAAAGAAATCGGCCATTTGTCCCTGATACCTATAGTCCCAGCTACTCAGGAGGCTGAGGCAGGAGGATGGCTTGAGCCCAGGAGTTTGAGGTTGCTGTGAGCTATGATTATGCCACTGTACTCTAGCCTTGGTGACAGAGTGAGACCTTGTCTCTGAAAAAAAGAAAAAAGTAAGAATTCTCCAGCCCAAGTGTTAATAGTCCTGAGGCTGAGAAACCCTGCCTTAGGCCGATCAGCATTTGCCCTGAATCACTGCTCATGCAGCCAGGATTTGGTGAGCAAGGGCAGGGGAGCACAGAGGAGTGGCAGTTGGTTAGACAGCCAACAGTGTCTGCTGTCAAAGTTTTGGCAGTGGCTGCCAGACTTACTTCCACAGTTAAAGCAGACATCCCCACCATCTTTCCC